CCACTGGTGCCTGGGTTTTTTTGTTTTTTGTTTTTGTTTTTGGTATCATTTCTGGGATAGCCTGAGCTTTTTTTGTTCAAGACTAGCACTGTGCAGGGCGCCGGTGGCTCATGCCTGTAATCCTAGCTACCCAGGAGGCTGAGATCTGAGGATCTTGGCTCAAAGCCAGCCCGGGCAGGAAAGTCCTCGGGCAGGAAAGTCCTCGGGCAGGAAAATCCTCGGGCAGGAAAATCCTCGGGCAGGAAAGTCCTCGGGCAGGAAAGTCCTCGGGCAGGAAAGTCCTCGGGCAGGAAAGTCCTCGAGACTCTTATCTCCAATAAACCACTAGGAAACCAGAAGTGGCGCTGTGGCTCAAGCGGTAGAGTGCTAGCCTTGAGGTGAAGGCGCAGGGACAGCACCCAGGCCCCAGAGTTCAAGCCCTATGACCAACAACAACAAAAAGACTAGCACTGTACCATTTGAGCCATGCCTTCACTTTTGCCTTTTTGGTGGTTAATTGGAGATAAGAATCTCATGGACTTTCCTGCAGAGGCTGGCATCCTCAGCTTCATGAATAGCTAGTATTATAGGTGTGAGCCTAGCTATAACTTTTTTTTTTCCAGTGCTATCTATCCTCTAATCTGACATTGTCTATATATTGGGTTTTCAGCAATTTCAGATTATAATTGGCTACTTTTGGTGCTCTGTCACATTTTGAAAAAGATAACTTTTTATTGTGAGGGGCTGTTCAGGACATTGTAAGGTATTTTGTGGCATCTCTATCTGGGCTCTACCCACTGAAGCTAAGCATCTTTCTTGTGAAACAAAAAATGTCTTCACATATTGCCATATATTCCTTGTTGATCAGAACCAGCAGTTGACCACCATTAAAATGCTTTAGAATGCTGTATCATTCTAACAATTTTATATGTAAAACTTAAGTGAAACCTAATAGTATGCTGTTCTTAATGTAGAGAAAAACCTATTTTCCTAAACTAATAACATATTAGTAATTAGTAGAAGAAAATATGCCACTTATAACTAAGCAATTTGTATTTCAACATGTAAATGAACTGTGACTACCTTAAAAATAGAGATAACTCCAGGAGATGGTTTCAACTTGTTTATAAATCTTGTTCCTATGCTACATGACTCTTCTCTATTAAGTATGCTTTGGATTTAGGCAGCTCTGCCATTTGTTAGTTAGCTGTATAACAATAATCACAGAATTTCTGCTTTAGAAAAAATTGAGTGTATAAAGTTGCTCTTCTGATTCTGTAATTATAAGTATATGGATTATTATTACTAATTATTGTTATTAGTTTATTTTTTGAGACAGGGTCCTGCTGTGTAGGCAAGCTGTGTTTTCGTGCTTTAGCCTTAAGTTCTAGGGTCATAGCTGAGTACCACTATACATGGCTTTAGAGCTATGGGTGGATTATTTAATCATTACTAAAATCTTGGAAGCTAGTTCTATAGGTAGAGCAGTGGAACCAGCCTATAAGTGGTAGAGCTGGGATTTAAATTCCTATTTAATTCTGGAGCCTGTTTTCTCAACAATTATTCTGCACTGCTTCTAATGAATACCTGATTAAAACATGGTCATACTTAATTTTTAGTTTTGATTATTATCCATTTCATTTTTTTGTAGCTTAATATTCTGTTTTGTTTTGTTTTTGGCCGGTCATGGGGCCTGAACTCTGGGTCTGGGCGCTATCCCTCAGCTCTTCAGCTCAAGGCTAGTGCTCTACCACTGGAGCCACAGTGCCACTTCCGGCGTTTTCTGTTTATGTGGTGCTGAGGAATCGAACCCAGGGTCTCATGCTTGCAAGGCATGCACTCTACTGCTGAGCTACCCTCCCAGCCCCTTGTAGCTTAATATTCTGTCCTTGAAACTTTCACTTGTTGGTTCCTCCTTTCCTTAGGCATTCAGTTAATTTACCTATATGTACATAGAATAGCTATTTATCTAACTTCTTTATATATAAGCCTCATTTCTAAAAAAAATCATAATAATGCATACAACTCTTGTAAATAAAATAAAACCTTTGTGTTTTATTTGTTTATGATACTTTTGTGTGTATGTGTGCTGGTTGTGGGGCTTGAATTTGGGCCAGAGCTCTTTCCTTTAGCTTTTTAAATTAAGGCTGGCACTCTAACACTAGAAACACACCTCTACTTCAGATTTTTGGTGGTTAATTGGAAATATGAACCTCATGAACTTTTCTGATTGTGATGGCTTTGAACCTCAATCCTCAGAGTTCAGTCTCCTGTATAAACTAGGATTACATTTTTGATGAGTAATTCCAGGTATAGAATTAGAGAGATGAAGAAATAATTTTTATTCATTAAAGGACTGTGTATATGAGGAATTTGATTCATTTTACTTATTTATGTTTTGAGACAGAGTCTAAGTAGCCCAGGCTTGCCTGGAACTTTATGTAGCCTGGGCTTGCCTTGAACTTGAGATTCTTTTTTCTCTTCCTCCTGAGTGCTGTGATTGTAGGCATTAGTAGTTGTAGTCATCCCAGTTTGTATGTTGTTTACTATGAAATTAGCAAATGTTTATTGAACTCCTGCACTGGCTCCTGTAGTTCTAGTTGTTAGAAATGTAGTAATGAGCAAGATACACAATAAGGCCTCTATTTTACAGAGCATGTATTCTAGTAAGGAACCATATTTAGATACTTAAAGAAATAAGCTTGGAGGCTGGGAAGGTGCCTCAGTGATAGAGTGTTCACCTAGCATGCATGAGGCCCTGGGTTCAATTCCCCAGCACCACATACACAGAAAAATAATAATAAAATTATTAAAAAAAAAAAGAAATAAGGGCTGGGTAAATGGCTCAGTGGTAGAGCACTTGCCTTGCATGCCTGAGGCCCTGGGTTCGATTCCTCAGCACCACATAAGCAAAAAGAAAAAAAGCCGGAAGTGGTACTGTGGCTCAAGTGGTAGAGTGCTAGCCTTGAGCTGAAGAGCTCAGGGACAGCACCCAGGCCCAGAGTTCAGGCCCCACGACCGGACCCCAAAAAAAAAAAAAAAAGAAATAAGCTTGGAGAGTGATTAAAAAATTACTTTGAGATTAGTAAAATTGGCCTGATTAAGAATTTGTTATTACCCAGCTCTAAATTAATTATTCTTGTAATTTCTTAAAAGAGAGTTTCAATATGTAGCTCAGGCTGACCTTGAACTTCGCCTGTCTCAAGTGTACTGAATGATGGGATTTCAGACCTGTGCCTCCATGCCTGGCTTATTCTTGTAGGTTTTTTGTTTTTTCTTTGGTTGGTCATGGGGCTTGATATCTGGACCTGGGCATGTCTCTGAGCTCTTCAGGTCAAGGCAAGTGCTCTGCTACTTGAGCCACAGTGCCAGTTCGGGTTTTCTGATGGTTAATTGGAGTTAAGAGTCTCATGGACTTTCCTGCCCTGGCTGGCTTTGAACTGGGATCCTCAAATCTCCTAAGTAGCTAGGATTACAGATGTGAGCTACTAGCACCTGGCTTTCTTGTAGTTTAAAAGTCAGATTACTATAAGGCTGATTAAGAAACAGTTTTCAGGCTAAGCATTGTGTCTCAGGCCTGTAAATCCCAGCTACAAAGGAGATAGAGATCAGGAAGATTTCAGTTTGAGGACAGCCCAGCAAAAAGTGAGACCCCATCTTAACAGTCAAAGCCAGGCATAGTGTTCCACTTTGTAAGCCTAGCTATGTAGGAGGTATTAACAGATTTGAGATTGGTACCAGGCAAAGGCTGGAGGTAGTTGAAAAATAAAGCATAAAGTGCTGGGAGTGTGGCTCAAGTAGTTAGAGCATCTGACCTAGTAAACATGAGACCCAGAGTTTGAACCTCAGTAGTATTTAAAAAAGGAATTTGATACATTAAAATTAACCAATTTTAATCTTACAGACTCATGATTTCTCACATTCAATTCTGTAACAATCCCCCCTAATGTGTCCTGGAACTCTTATTCCCTGCAACTTTTACTTTCCTGTCCCTTTCCTCTTAATCCTCTTCCTACACTTCCAGAGAAGGGCTTTTGTTTACTGTTTGCCTCTGTAGCTTTGCTTTTTCTAGAATTTAAGTGGAATCATAGCATAGCTCTTGAGATTTAGCCATGCTGTAATTGCTGAATAATATTCTGTTGTATTGGTTATATCCATATTTGTCCATTTATGGTGGGCATTTGGGTTATTTTCAGCATTTGTTTCAAGTAATGGTTCTGTGAGCATTTCTGTATAAATCTGTGGCAGGACTGAGAGGTTGTATAAGTGCATGTTTGTTTTCCAAAGTGTTCCATTTTACATTAACCTCATCGGTCTTACCAACATGTATTATCTATCACTTAATAATAGCCCTGCTAGGGTATGTGTACATGTAATGGCATCTCATTGTGGATTTAGTTTGTTTTCTCAAATGTATTCTCAAACATTTTCATCTGCTTATTTGACATATATTTTCTGTGAAGAATGATGAAATATTTTGTCTTTACTTTTAATTGATTGATTGCTGATGCCCAGTGCCTGTGATCCCAGTTTCATTCAAGGCTGAAGCAGGAGAATTGCTTGATCCCAGGAGTTCAAGGTCAGCCTAGGTAACATAGTAAAACCCTGTCTCAAAAAATGAAATTATAGCTGTGTACTAGTGGCTTATGTCAGTACTCCTAAGCTTCTCAGGAGACTGAGATCTGAGGATTGAGGTTTGATGTCATCCAGGACAGAAAAGTCAATGAAATTCTTATTCTTCCCCCGCAAAACAAAATAAAGAATCCAAAAAACAAAACCTCCACATGTGGAGATGTGGCTCAGTGGTAAAACGCTAACCTTGAGCAGAAAATCCAAGCAAGAGCTCTAAGTCCTGAGTTTAGGTCCTAGAACCAGCACACAACACAAAAAATTTAAATTATTAAAAATATATATACTATCCCTTATCAGATGTTTCCAAGTATTTGCTCCTAGTCTCTTAGTTTTAATTTCTTTTTTTTTTAAAGTTACCAACTCTTTGTTGAACCTTCTATTTATTATAGTGCTAGAGAATGATTTAAAAGAAGCAGACATGATGCAGTATCAGGAAGTAATATGTGATGTCCCCAAAGAGATGCCCAGGTTGAAATACAAGGTACTGTTTTTTTGTTTCTGGTTTGTGTGTGTGTATGTGTGTGTGTGTGTTGGTCATGGGTCCTGAACTCTGGGCCTGGGCACTGTCCCTCAGCTCTTCAGCTGTAAGCCTAGCACTCTACCACTTGAGTCAGAGCTCCACATCTGGCTTTTTCTGCTTATGTGGTACTGAGGAATGGAACCCAGGGCCTCATGCATGCAAGGCAAGCACTCTATCACTGAGCCATCTTCCCAGCCCCAAGGTACTGTTCTTTTTTTTTTTTTTTTTTAAGGATAACTCTTCACTGGATGACTACGTGATAGCTTACATGAAAAACCACTTCACACATATGGAAACTATGGCTTAGCAATGTTGAGTTGTCTAAAATCAATCTGTTAAATGGTGGAGACAAGGGTCTGAATGCAGATGGATTCAGCTATCCTGCTGCGATGTGATCACTTGAGGTTTTCAGTATCATAGTCGAGCCGGTTGTTGACTAATGAGTTGTGTAGCTAAAGAGCAATTGGTATGGAAATGCAGGCTGCCATTCACTTGACAATCTTCTATGGATGGGACAAAGTGTACAGAGGGACTAGGGTAGCCATCGGTATTTTTCAGAAACTGCCTTTGTACTATTTTGAAGTTCTACTTTATCCTTTAAGTTTTAATTTCCTTAACAGTACGTATATGCCTGTATGTGTGTGTGTATATATGTATGTGTAGGTTTTGTTTTTGAAGAGCAAAAGCTCTTTTGATGAAATCCAATTTTTTAAATATTTTATGCTCTATGTATCTTGTCCATGAAATTTTGCTTATCCAAGTTCATAATTAAAAGTTCTTTTGTTGTTGTTGTTGGTCATGGGGCTTGAACTCTGGACCTGAGCACTGTCCCTCAGCTCTTCAGCTCAAGGCTAGCACTCTACCACTTGAGCTACAGCGCCACTTCCAGTTTTTTCTGTGAATAATTGGAATAAGAGTCTCACAGACTTTCCTGCACAGGCAGGCTGGCTTTGAACCCATATCCTCAGATCTCAGCCTCCTAAGTAGCTAGGATTACAAGTGTGAGTCACTGGTGCCTGGCTTTGATGTATTTTTTCATATGGTGTGAGGTACAGATGAGATCCCCCCCCTTTTCCTTCTCTTTCCTTTTGATATGTTGATGTCCCAGCACCCTGAGTTGAAAATGCCATTCTTCCCATAGAATTATCTAGATTCAACTTACCAAGAATCGCTTAAACATTTGTGCAAATATTTTATGTCTATTGAGATATGCCTTGTATTTTCCTGTATTATCTTGATAATCTATAAGTTTTGGACTTAGATGTTTGTAGTCTTCCAACTTCACCTTTTAAAATGTTTTAGCTGTTTTAAATTTACATTGTAATTAATACACATTTTAGAATCAGCTTGTCATTTTCTACAAAAAAAATGCTGGATTTTTTTTTTTTGCAATATCTGATTTGACCTCAGACCTATACATTTTTTTTAATAGTTCACATTGTACCCACTCCTTGTGGGTTATGTTTTTGTTTTTTAAGAGACAGTCTTTCTCCATGGCTGGCTTTGAACTCCTGGGCTCAAATGATCCTTTTGTCTCAGTCTCATGAGTAGCTGGGATGATACTACAATGCCTGGCAAAGGGTTTCATTTAAGAATCTAGTGATGCGGACTGGGAAGGTGGCTCAGTGGTAGAGTGCTTGCCTTGCATGCATGAGGCCCTGGGTTCCATTCCTCAGTACCACATAAGCAGAAAAAGCCGGATGTGGAGCTCTGACTCAAGTGGTAGAGTGCTAGGCTTACAGCTGAAGAGCTGAGGGCCAGTGCCCAGGCCCAGAGTTCAGGACCCACGACTGACCAAAAAAAAAAAAAAGTAACACAAAAGTGAACACTGCTAAATTTTAGTTGTTCAGATTCTTTTTTCTCACTGGAGTTATATTCTGTTGCTTGAAATAGTTATTTTTTTGCACATTTTTTTTTTTTT